ACTGGGAAAAATAAGTTCTTTCAGATATTACTGGCAGAAATTCTTAACAGTACAACCTCTGAACAGGGTAACTTGGTCATGTCATATAAAGTTAGAGATGAACTTATGTGTTTGAACTTCCAGGACAATGATCTGAAAACACACATTTACAAATGTGAGATAACATATGCACAAGTTTGTTTATGAAAGCATTATTTGTAATATCAATAGATAAACTGAATTAACTTTGATAATTGATCTATACACCTCTCTCTGCTAAAATCATGCAAAATTGCTCACACATCCTGCTGCTGAATGGAGCACAGAGCTAATTGAGATCTTGAAAGACTTGCAATCCCTGCTTCTAACTCCCAACCCCCAGTCCTGTCTACCCCTATAAAGAGAACCAATAGTTTCTTCACACACTTCTGCATGATTAAACCACACCCTGTGAAATGTGGGTGTGAGGGAGGCGGGAACATTGGGAGCTGAACTTTTTACCATTCCTGACTTTCCTCTTTCCATTGCAACATTCCACCAATCTTTCTGCCCCTTCTACTGTGTCAGAAAATTCTTTAAATTACATTTCTTTCTTCCTAAATTGGTATTCAGTCTTTCCTCTTTTCTAAATGGAACAGCTGTGCTTTTGGGTGAGGGTAAGGGTGAGGTGGAGACTGCACTATTGTTTTTAATAATTTCAAAATTTTACTTCCATTGCGCTCACTTTGAGAAACATTACAGCAATTTGTAAAGCTATCAAGAGGAAACAGAGTCCTGCCTTTATCTAGTGTACGAATGACAATGCTAAAAGGATAAAGGAAGAAAACAGGTGAGAGCCTATATATTTCCCAGAATAAGTAATCAATTCTTGATTGCTAAGGTAATGTTCTGTCACTTGTTACTATTACCTAAATGACCATGGTAATATTCATCCTGGAACAACTGAGGTGTTTATCTGAAAAACTTTGTTTCCTTAAGTGTGGAGAAAGTTAAGACTTTCGGTTCATCTAAATATTCATCTTTTTTCGTGACTTTGAAATAAAGAGGATATCAGAAAATAGTGGGTTCATTCAGTAATAACAAAATCTGTTTTAACAATCACAAACTTCATTATATGAGAAAAATGCTCAAGTATATTTTAGTAAAGTGGGGTTATATACATTATATACATTGATAGAAAATTGTACATTCTTGTGCTTTGTGTTATGTTATTCTTTAGAAATTTCAGAAGTGGCTTAACAAATAGAGAAATTCCTTTCTGGAACTGACTATGTGACTGATGATATATGCTCAGGTGCCATTATTGTAGTGGCTGCTGGTGAAAGGCATCATCTCTGTGCCTTAAAGGTAAGGTCTGCATTTCTGACTAGATTTTATTACATTCATATTATTTTTCTGCAAAAAAAGGTAGATACCTATTTCTATTCTACTATTGAGGGTAACTTAGTCACATAAAAGGAAATTAAACTACTTTTCATGGGCTTTTTATTGAGACAATATGACCTGCTAATAACATTTAAATCTTATTAGGTGTTTATATTTTCAGTGGATTTGAAGACACAGCGAGTTATCCCACAAGAGCTCGTTTTGTTTGGTTGTGAAAGGACATTTTCAATGTGCCTGAGTGTGCATATGTATTCATTTAAGTTCTTCATACATCAAGGGCAAACCTATTTTTAAACTACATTTGTGAAATTTTCAAATAATACCCACGATATATTTTTCCTTCAAATTCCAAACTCCAATTTAGATAAAGTACCCCTAAATGGGGTTACTAATCCTAACTTTCAAAGGAATCCACCCATATAGTGTCTGTACTTTCATGAGTAGTTCAAGGGAAGATTTACTGATTTTTACATTAGATAATGTTGAACTGCTCCAATTTCAGAAACTCATCAAAAAGAAGATTTAGTCTATTAAAATGTTCATATTGCAAGTCAAGATGGATACTGAATACAAGAGTATACATATTTCTGGAGAAAAGTCAGTACATGTGTATCTTCTGTTACACAATTCAATTTACAATGTCTGTTCTGCTGTGTTGGATGCGACTGGCCTTAGGCATCTGCCTTCGGCCTCAGCTCTCCCCCTGCTCATAGGGGGCTCTGAGACTTGGCAGGCCTTCAAAAGATGTTGAGGTCCCATCAAGGGTCTAGACTTTGGGCACTTCCATTGTTTTCACCGAGTCTGGGCTGTTTCAGCTCTGGAGAACTGCCCTGAGAGTCTCCAGACATCTCTGACCGAATTTCTTCTGTGGACAGGTTGGGAATTATGCTGAGTGGTACAGAATTTGGTGAAGTATCTGTCTTTAAGGGTATTAAGTTTATTCTCTGGGGCATTGTCTTGTTCCAGGCTTACAATGTGTTCAGAGTAACCCTGCAGGATGGGTGGGCTTTTGTGTTTTGACTACTGGGCTACAGGGTCTTCTCCTCTGTTGGCCCTGTCAAGGAGTTTTTGTCACCAGGAGTGACTGAGTGAGTGTCCTTGACTGCTGTTGGGGATTGTTTGGCTGGAGGAGGAGTTGTGCAGGGACTGCTAGGCTCTTGTATTTTGCTGATGAGGTTTCCCTCTACTGGTCTGGGTGCCAGTGAAGACCCTTGGTGCGTCTTGACTCTTGGTTCTCTTTGCTGTCTCAGGAGTTCTTGTGCTCAAAACTGGCTTCTCTTTCAAAGGAATTCCAAGTTCATCTTTCTCAAATGTCACAAATGAACAATAGCCATCCATGGATGAAATGACCAGGAAGGCCCTGTCGTTGGACCATGAAATATCACTCAAGGTGTGCCAGTGTATATTAGACATGTAACCGAAAGGGAAAGGCTGCTGGGTGTCATATAGAAGCAAAGAGCCCTCTGAAGCTGTAGCAAAAACCAGGCAGTAGGGCAGACTCACCAGCTCCAGGTGTGGCTGTTTCCACCACTGGCCTGAATTCAAAGTGAACTGGACATCAGTGAACAGCAAATGTCGCTTTTCCAGGACATGAAAGATGAGCAATGGGCCTTTTATGATTTTTCCTAGAGGAAACATAAGTTGTATTCATTAGATTTTCACCAGATTCCACATATCCAGCTGGTGTGAGGAGCAAAGACCTGGCCTGGCTCCCTTCCAAGAGGCACAGGACAAGGCAGAGACAAGCCTCTGTCCCAAGGATGGGTTGACGTGCAGGCCAATCATGATTCTGCCCTTTCCCTGGAAGTGACTGAGATATCTCTGTCCATTTCATAATTTTCATGCTTAGAAGAAGATTCCTGAGGAGCTTCAAATGGTCCACAAGGAGTGGAATTCTTTTTTTTTTTCCCCCCTTGGGAAAAAATTTGCATGATATACTAAGAACCAAGAGTGAAGGCTGTTTCCTCAAAAGTGTCAAGTATTACTGGGAAAGGAGAGAAATAGGGGCTACTCTTCTGTCATGGACCATTGTTGGCAACTTTTGACATGATTTGCTTCCTGGAGGATACCCGTGTACTTTTAAGAAATTTCACAGTTCTCACATCTTATTATTTCTTTTGGTTACAGCATCAAAGGTCTTGTTCTAAGTGATAGCAGAGAGGAGTTAAACATAGACTAAGCTGCAAAGAGTTTGCAATGCATGGTTTATACTACAATAAATGGAAGTATGTCCTGTTTAGGGGCACTGCTGACTGTGTCCCTGCACCATTTTTCAGCTTTCCTGCCTTCAAAAAAAGAAAGCTGCTGAGGGAGGAATTTTTTGTCCCTTCAAGACCAAGGAGGATTAAAGTCATCTCGTGGGAAATAGCCCGGGTCTTGAAGGGGCAAAAAATTCCTCCCTCTGGCAGCTCTCTTTTTCCAAAGGCAGGAAAGAAAAAGAAAAATGGTGCAGGGACACAGCAGCACCTCTAAACAAGGTATACTTTCATTTACTGTAGTATAAACCATGCTTTGCAAACTCTACAGCTTTGTCTACCTTTAACTCCTCTCTGCTGTCACTTAGAACAAGACATTTGATGCTGTAACCAAAAGAAATAATAAGATCTGAGAATTGTGAAATTTCTTAAAAGAACACAGGGATCCTCCAAGAATAAAATCATGTCAAAAGCTGCAAACAATGGTCCATGACAGAAGAGTAGCCCTTATTTCTCTCCTTCTCCAGTAATACTTGACACCTTTGAGGAAACAGCCTTCACTCCTGGTTCTTAGTATACCATGGGAATTTTTTCCCGAGGAGGGAAAAAAAAAAAAGAATTGCACTCCCTGTGGATGCATTTGAAGCTTCTCAGCAATCTTCTCCTAAGCAGGAAAATTATGAAATTGACAGCAATATCTCAATCACTTCAAGGGAAAGGGCAGGACCATGATTGGCCTGCACATCAACCCATCCTTGGGACAGAGGCTTGTCTCTACCTTGTTCTGTGTCTCTTGGAAGGCATTCAGGCCAGGTTTCTAGAGGGTCTGTGAGTCTTGTGAACTTTGTCTTATCCAGCAATGGTGTAGCCCGCCTCCTCTGCTCTGCTGAACTGCTTCACAGGCCTTTTCTCCTTTCCCGTCATAAGGTATGGATAAGACCCGTTCTCAGTCAAGTGTTTCACATCCATGTGTATATTCCTCTGAAGGAAATTCTTCACCACAGTGATTATTGAACCTTGGGAGGTATCTCTGTCAATTTCCCTGCTACCGATCCCAACTTTTTTCAGGACCCTGGATCCCAAGTATTTTGAGACTCTTTCCTACTCCTGGGGCCTTAACCTCTTCTATAGCACAGTCCATGGCAGTTTTCATTTTCAGTGAGTCTCCCTTTCTCAACTCTAGTGGAAAAGATGAAACACTGGTCTTCATTGTTCTTTAATTTGCAAGGGAGCATTTTGCTCTTCTGCATGGTGTGGTCTGCCACATTGTCCTTCCTTCTGGGGAGAGCATGGATATTGTAAAAAGGGGTTCTCTAATCTTATTGACGGTGTGATGGGAGGTAGGTATGTGGAAATAAAGTGGGTAATCTGGCTGCTTAGGGAAGATGAAGCTCCCTCAGTAGGGTCTGGGCTGCTCTACCTCTCTTTTAGGGGCTGAAATCAGTCTGTTGATGTGCATGAGGATGTTTCCACATCCATGCGTTCTTCCCTGTTGCATACAGATGTTGTCGTCTTGATTTTGTTCTCCTTCCCTTTCCCATTCCTTTTCCTCTTTAGCTGGGCTAAGGCAAGATGGAAAGTGCAGCAGCTAAAGCCCTCATGGACCCCATGCTCCACGTGCACCTGCAGGACCTCTAAACTGAGGTAGACCCCGCAGCAGGCCATGCATTTGAAGGCACTGTCCAGCATCTCCAGTGTCCTGGCCCTGGAACTGTCCTCCAGAGCTGCAGGCTCTGCTGAGCTGTCAGCCTCCTCCTCCCTTTCCTCTTGGGCTTTGCTGTCCACGCTGCACTCACTGTCAGTTGAGTTCCTTTGTAGACATGTCAGAGATGGTGACTTTTGTTCTGATATTCTCAGGAAAGGTCATTTCTTCTACTCTTGTCTTTTTTTGTGGGGTCCCCAGTCCTTCCTCTGTATCTGACAGGACGGCCACACCCCTTTTCATTGGGACATGCATATAGTAAATTTTCATGGGCCTTTTCTTTTCCTTATGTTCTGAGGACATAAAGGGCACATTGGTTAAGTAGGAATGAACAGAGATATGTGGTAAGGGTGAGTAAGTCTCCCTTTGCTCCAAATCCTGGGGTCGAGACATCTCAGAGGATCCAAGGCAGGAGATATCTTGAGGTAATTGATGGATTCCTAGGAAATAAGATTTTAAACATAAGAAAACTTCAATAAGTATGTATGAAATCTGCAGCAGTTAAGATGGCCATGAGAATATCCCATGCAGGGACATGGGGAACAGAAGCACATGCATATATCTCAGAATTCCGCATGTGCTATGTGCTATTTGAGGTGTGAATTCAGTGCACCTGTGTAGATAACAAGTGTGTGGTGTGTCTCATGGAGTTGTGTTTTGTTCTGGAACATATCTGGGGAGTGTTTCCAGTGCTGGTGGTAAGAGGGGATGGTGATGAGCGTGTGTAAGTGTCATGGGGTGTGACAGGACATGTGAACAAGGGCAGGAGTGGTGCATGCTCCTGTCAGGATGTGCTGCTTTGTGAGGTGCTGAGGGTCTTGTGGATAGAGTGACATGGGTGAGAAGCACTGCATGAAAGTGCCTTCTCTTCATTGCATATGGGTTTTCTAGAGTCTGGTCTAGCATGGGGGAGTTAAAACAGGTTGTCTGTGTGAGGGAATGTGAAGTATTTATAGGATTAGTGTATAAAGGGGTGAGTGTGAGAAAGATTGCGGGCAGGAATGAGGAGCTGAGTGTGTATCTCTGTAACCCTACTGGAGAGTGAGAAAGATGGAGAGTGAAGGGATGTCTATTTGACAGAATAAGTAAAAGGAAAGGAGAAATGGGCCATACTCGGTATGAAGAAGTGTGTGTGAGTATGTGTGTGAGCTTGAGTCTGTGCCAATCTGAGGCAGAAGGTTCTGATCAAATTCCCATGCACTTGTCAGCCCTGTCTGCTGCCTCACCCACAGCTGTCCCAGTGTTCACCTGTGGGAAGTTTGTGCTGAGGAGCTTTGTCTTGTTCTTGAAGGCACATTCCCTCTGTATTTGATCCTCCTCAGAGGCTTCAGTCCTAGTCCCTCTGCCCCAAAGCCCTTTCCTGTTTTTAAGGGGAAGGTAAGGTAGGAGTTGGGCTGAGCAGCTCAGGGCATCTCCTGCCCAAGCCCAGATCCCACCTTTGCACCTCCCTTACCATCCTCATCAACAAGAATGAGCTCGCTGGCCGAGGAGACACAGTACAAATGTTCAGAAGCAGAGGAATTTCTGCCTGGGCTGGGACCACCACACTTATCTCAGGAGCATTCTCTTGAGACTTGCAGGATTCTGGGGAATAAAGTTTAAAAAGCAGAAAACAATATTGGGATGTGGATAATCTGGAGTCTTTGTACATTCATAAAAAGATATGCTGAATGGATATATTGTGTAGTGCATCATTACTGCCCATGGGACTTGCTTTCACAGAAATTTAGGTGACTTTCCCATTCAAAACTCCAAAATATAAGTTAATAACAGTTATTAAAAATGTGTGTGTTTTGGATGTCAGTGGTATTGGATATCTTGTATGTGATATTTTTGGAGATGTGTACAGAATACTGGAAAGCATGAAACTTGCCTAAAATACAATATGCAGTAACTAAAGTTTAGCTATTATTATTATTGGCTCAATTTTCTTCATGGGAAATTATGCAAATAAGGGATACGAAGTGCAAATTTATGAAGAATTATGTATGTGTATCTATTTGTTTATACTGATATCTACACTGATAGAAAGGTATATATATAGAGAGAGGTGTAGATATAAATAGTTAGATGGTAGCTAGATAGTTAGATATACAGATGCAAAGATAAAATTTTTTTGAGGGCTCCCTAGAAAATGGGCCTGATGCTAGAGGTATTCAAATGAAGGCTTCACAGACTTGCTCCAGACTCCTCTTTGGAAATATGCTTCTGATTTCACTTGGGTTTCTAATCTTCCTGTCCATATCATTTAGGAGCCTTTTCCAAAGGAGAAAGAGTACATGATACATTTCTGCCCCTTGATTGGAAACAGAGACCCTAGGCAGTCCTTGAGAGAAGGGGTTGCTGAGCAAAGGAGCTTAGCTCCAATTCTAAGTCATTATTCTCTCCCCTTTCTATATGATTCCTTCTTAACTTCTCATCTTCTCTACCCCTATACCATTGTGATCAAGCTTGTCTTCAAAAGAGGCAGAGGATAAGTATTTTGAGTCTGAGTCCTCTGCTGTCTGGCTGTGGGCCTGGGTCAACCCAGAGGGTCCAGGCTGTGGAGTGTTTTCATCTGATTCTATGATTCCTGGGAATGAGAGGGAAAATCAGATATGTGGTACTTTTTTGCATTCAACAAACATTCAAGAAGTACCATTTACAATAACACACATGGTACTTATCCTCACAAAGATTATAATCTAGTTACTGTTCAAAGTTCTAAAATCTAGGTATACAAAAATATTTGTTGGAATGATGTGTCTGGGTGGGCTGGATCACCCATGAGTGGCGTATTTGTTCTGTGCAGTGAATCAGAGGCTCACAATCTTGTCCAGCACATGGGAAGGTGCACATATTATATGTTATTACTACTTCTGTTTACACGAAGAATAATTTTGTTGTACGTTGTAGGTAAAATGCTTCAGTTTGTCACCTGAGATTATTTTATGAAAGTCCTGCTGCTTTCTCAAATAGAATTTGCAGGGGGAAAAACCCCACTGGCTTTCATTTCTTGCCTGCAGTATCCTCTTCCAGATATCTGCTATTTTGGCGTCTCTTGCTAGAGCTCTGCAGGACCTGTGCCTTGTGATAACTCATTACTTCTGAGCTTGAGCAGAAGACTCCATTGGGATCTCTGGGGTGGCTCCAGAATGTACCTCCCAACGTTGGTCACAGCTCTTTTCTCAGCTGTTTACTTCTTAACTGGCACAGCTACCACTTGGCTTGGCCAGTGGTGTCACCTATCTTAGTACTCTCTGCCCACACAGGGCCCCTGACTAAGTTGTTTTTTTAAATCTCTACTCACTTCATTCAAAGCCTGTCTTGGAACCTTCCCAATTATGAGTATATTCAGAGTACTTTGAGCAGTTGTTTTTTTCCCTAATCTGTGTATTTTTTGAATCAACTCTACCTGTACCATGAATTTAAACATATGAAAATTCTGTTTTATTATTTACTTCCTCTTTATATTTCCAAGGGAAAGGCCTGTAACTTTGAATTCACAAGCTTTAGTAAATAAATAGGCAAATTCTAATCCCTGATCAAATAATTCACAAACACATTAAGTTCCATCCTCTGTTTAAAAACTTTGATTAAGTCTATAACCAAACTATTACTTCTCAAAATACATTCAACTTGCCTGTTAGGTTGCTGTAGAGTGTCTGGTGTGTTATTGTGGTGTGGAGATGGTGACGTTCAGTACATGTGGTGTACGCTGTACATAGAATCAGAGTGTCATGTTTGGTGAGTAGAGTCTGGTGTATATACATGTCTGTATATCTACTACGTTTTTTAAAAAAATCACGTAGTCAGTATGGGGGTCAAATTGTCATGGTAAATGAAGGTAGCATGAGTGTGATGTGTTTGGGTCACTCGCAGCATTTCTGTATGTACAGGTATTTCATCTTCCATGTGTTATGTGAACTGCATGTCATGTGGAATTAAAATACAAGCAATTGTATAATAGCTTTTTGGTTTATATAAGGGACTGTGTGGATCTGAGTAATTTTGTGAGAGCTGAAGACACAATGGAAGTGTTATAAACAGTTATGTCACATATGAATAAAGGGAGATCATGTGAGCTCCTAGATAGTGTGATTATGTGAAGGGACTAAGGAATTGGGAAGAGAAAGGAGTTGGGAAGAGAAAGGAGTTTCAGAAAGGAGTTTCACAAGGGGGTATATGTTGTGATAGCTTCATGCTTTGTTAATATGAAATCGAGAGTTCTCCAAGAGTGAATTATTTCTGTGAGTTAGAGATTGTGATATTGTAAAAATGAGGTTATGAGAAAGCAAATTTGAGGAATATAATACATGTGCTGAGAAATGAGGGCATGACGGCTTACTGGGTGAGGAAATGAGTTTACAAGTTTATCTGGGAGTATAAAGCAATGGGAGTAAGGAAAGGAGAATGAAGGGATGAGAGTTTGCAGAGATAAGCCTGAGGTCATATGGTGTTGAGGATAATTGGGCATGATGGGGTAAAAATTCATGTGTGTTTACGAGGGTAGAAGGCTGTAAGAGGCCAGAGTTTAAGGTCCCCTTTCAAACCTTCTGCCTTATGAGGGGACATGAGCTAGGGAGCTTTGACCCCCTTTTGATGGCAAATGTAGAATCCACTGGTTCCTCATTAGATACTTCAGTCTCCACCTTTCTCTTTGTCAGAGACCTGCCCACGCTTGTGACCTGTAGTGTTATACTTCCAAGGTTCAGACTGAGTGAGTCTTTCCTGTTTCTCTGACAAGAACTGTCATTCTGGAAGGGTTCAGTGTTCTTAAATGCATCCCTGCTCTGACACCCTTGCACTTTTGGACACTTGTCCTATTCAAGAATTCCCTTGAATTTCAAGACTTTCTTTTATGTAGATATAATGAGCATGTCCTAAAGGAGAAGTAGAAGAATGGGTATTTTTGCTGTGGTCAGGGAATGGGCTGTATCAACTTAAATCTCCCATCTATCAGGTTGTAGAGAGGAGATCTCAGCCAGACCTCACAGCCATGCTTCCATCTCCTGCCCTACTCTCCAATCCTAGCTCCAGTTTAGACATCTCTATTTACAAGTATTCTCAGGCTCCGAGAAGAAAAAGGAAAAAAAAAACATTGAGCTAAAACTGGTTTTCTGCTCTTTCTGGGGAATATGACAAGGGTGTGTATCATCCGTCTGCATATGCCTGATTTCTGTCAAATCAAATGGAAAATAAAGACATATATACTATAATTTACCCATTTGTTCAAAGTTGATAACTCACTATGTACCAGACATACATGGAGACCACAGTCCATTTCCTGGCCAAAGCTCCAAAATATAATTACTTAATAATTTTTAGTATTACCCAGGTGTCAGAGGCAGGAAGGACACAATATATGTATGTTGTCTTTATGAAGATGCTTTTAGTGTGTATGTTGAAACTATGATGTCACATAAAGTGCAGTTAATATCATATTTTAATATTTGCCTAGCTGACTATACATATGTTGTTGTGTTTAACATATTGCCTGAAAGTTATGGAAAGTTGAATAATGGCACATCCCACCTCACCCCGGCAAGTTATTCATATATTAAACACTAGAACCTGTGAATGTTACTTGATATGCCCAAGGGGACTTTGTGAATGTTACTACCTTAAGAATCTTGTGATGGGGAGATCATCTGGGATTATATGGCTGGATCTTAAATGTAATTTCAAGAATACTTATAAGAGGGGGGCAAGTAGGCCAAAGGCAGGAAAACAGATGTGACGTGGAGCAATAGGTTTAAGTAAAGAGAGAAAGGGGCTTCCAACCAAGGGGTGCAAGAAGCCCCCACAGCTGCAAGAGGTAAGGAAGTTCTGAAGCATCCCGGAGAAACCAGCCCTACCAATACCATGATTTTAACCACATAAAATGTATTTTGGACTTTTGAACCCCAACACTGTAAGAGAATAAGTTCATGTTGTTTTAAGCTACTCATTTGGTGGTGATTTGTTATAGCAGTTAATAGCAAATAAGGAAACACATCAACCTTAAATTAAGGATTGCCACATACTCTGTATTGAGCTAGGGGTTTTCTCATAAGTAGGCCCTACTTATCTAATTTTCCTGCTTTCCTGAGTGCAGAGTTGCTTATTTGAGTCAATGGCTTTACCCTTTTTTGGAGCAAAATGAGCAGCTGTGAATACTTTAACTTCTATTCACTGTCTCACGTTCATTTCATCCAAGACTTAAATTGCACCTCTTTTATCAGTTCTGAGTTAGTGATTATTAGTTTTTGGTACTTAAATCATGAATGCTTGTTTATATTCAGTTACAGACTTACCAGTGTTTTAGCTCTCCAATTGCTCCTGACTGTCATGCTTCTTCTGTGTTCAGTTTAATTTTTCTGTATAGGTTCTTTCCATTAGTGTTTTTTTACACCTTTCTATGGTTTTTATCATCCTTATTCGTGTATGATTCAGACTGTCCTTCATTGTCAGCACACTATTTCATACTGTTGTCATGAAGTTTCTTTGATAGTTTTTGAATAGTTTACTATGTGACAAATCACTCTTTAGAAGATATTCTCGTGTTAGTCTGTAGTTGTTGTAATGTCTTTGTTATTAGAGTTCCATATTTTTGGTAGAGCAAACTTAGGTGTGAATTTATTGTGCCTGTCTCATAGTGAGCTTATGATCTTTCCTAATTCTATAAATTTTAACCGTTTTGAAAAGTTCTCCACCATTATTTCTTTGATCATGTCTGACTATTTTGTTTTATTTTTCAGAAATCTCAATTCAATATACATTGTACCTTCACATTTTATCCTCATTTATTTTAATTCCACCTTCAAACTTTTCAGCTAGGAGGAGAGGAGGAGATTATGGCTGTTTCCAAAGTATATCTTCCTTTGTATCAGTGTCCGAGCAGAGATTTTCTGTTGGATTTCTGTGTATGCTCAGATTCCTACTCTTATGATCTGCCTAGTCTTCACTAATCTATCTTTCTCCCTACCAGCATAAGAAGGCATGTGTAAAGAGGAGTCACAAGAGAAATACTCTGATTGAGAATTTTTATCTCTTGCCTCATGGACCAGTGTATTGTCCTCCAAAGAGTGCCCAGATTGTTTGTCATTTTTGTGTATGTTTGAGATTCCCAGAAAATGAAAGAATGGTTATAAAGTTTAGTGGGTTTCTGTTTCATTCATTTGTTCAACTGACAAATATTCTGAATTATGTGCTTAGCTCTAAGAACAGACATTAAAGTTTAGTGGGTTTCTGTTTCATTCATTTGTTCAACTGTCAAATATTCTGAATTATGTGCTTAGCTCTAAGAACAGACATGACCTTTTGAAAATAAAATCTATATCCTGCTAAAAACCCTCACACACATGTACAGAAAAGCATTTGTATCATCAGAGTGCTAGAGTTTGGATTAGACATCCTCCATTTGGATTAGTTTGCATACCATCCACTAATGCTGTGTCCCTAATTGTGTCAGGATTCATGAAGTGATAGAACTATCAATTCCATTATTTTGCCAAACTTTTCTTCTGAAAATCCACTCAGATAGAGCTTAGACCTTCTCACAATCTAGTTCTTTGTTCCCAGGGTATAATTCTATACACCAAGGAACCAAAATTCCTGAGGAACCTACAGAGTTCCATGCAGACAAGAGCTTACAGCTAAAACCACAGTTTCCATTCTGCTCTCCTCCTACCATTCTTCTCTCCAACATACGATTGTCTCCTCCCAAGACACACACACAGGAATACTTATTTTGTCGTGAACAGTTATCTCTCGCTTGGGCAGGGAACTGGTATACTTCAATATGCTGTTCTTATATCTTGATCTTGCCCTCAAGTCTCCTCATTCCCACCAGCTTTGGTTAAGAGTTTTGGTACAGTTTGCCTTCCTCTACATTTTTCACACTTTCACTCTCTGCATCCCAGATCCTAGAGTTTCACAACCTCAAAGAAAACAAGTGGTATTTTTTTTTAAGAAACTAAATATTCATAATCTTATTATGTTACTGTCCCTGTCTCAAATGTTAGTGAAGCCCACCAATATCATTTAACTATTCAAAATAATCAAGTATCGTGAATATGTCTGGCATGTGTATTATGCACACATTGCAGTAAAGTTTTGTG